TTGTCTGAAATGTAATTCTTGTTTTAGGATACCGCTTTTTTTGCAATCCTCTCAAGAGGTAGTTTCTTGCTCTCCTATAGCCCTTGTACCACTGGGCCTAGAGGTGAGTTACATGTCCTCTTCGTTCCTCATTATTAATTCCAAGAGATTATACCATCTACAATCCCTCTTTATGCAGGCATCCCTGGGCCCCCTGCCCCCATGCTCTGAAGATTTTAGCTACTGGATCAGTCTCTCCAGTCTCTCCAATACTCCAACATAATCCTTGGGGATTTCTATATCCACCTAGATGATTATTTCAGCACCCTGGACTAAGGACTTGTATTAAATCCCTTAATCTTCTCTTCTCCAATTAACTTGCAGTCCATTCTACCTAAGCCATTCCCTTCCATGGTCATATTCTAGACCTTCATTACAATAACTTTAATCCCTCCACAATTTCAATTCCAAGTATGCCATTCTCTGACCTCACCTCTTCTCTAACCCGAGTTCCCTAGAACACAGAGACAGCCTGAGGCACAGCATATGTGTTAATGCTTTATTGAAAGGGAAGTAAGAGTGAGGGAAAAGGAATAGTTAGACAGGGATGTCTGGAGAGTAACTACAAGGTGGTGCTTCACCGACCTGGCCATCCTCACAAGAACACTCAACTAGGTTGCTAGCAGACATCTCCAGAGAAGCCATATGGAAACCACTACATCTAAAAACTACTCATCAGAGAGAAGAAAAGCAAACAATTTATCTGTGGGGTCTTTCCCATGTTCTCTCTCTCATTGGTCAAAATCATCCCCCTAAGGCATTAATTCCTTACAATTTACAGGTCATGTACTTGACCAGTCTGAGTAGTCACTGGGGGAAGCCAGAGCTTCCATGGGTCTAGTCAGGTCAGACCTGACGCTGGAGCTGCTGTGGCTCCTATAGCAGTGGATGTGCCAGAAGCTGTGTTTCCTGATGGGAGGCTGAGATGACCAGAGGTAGGAGATGTGGTGGCCAGGTCTATGACCACTATAATGAAATGAGTCATCCCTGGGGCCAATTTAGAAAAACAGAGCAAGTGGCTTAGGCCCAAAGGAGGGGAGTAGACAAGGAAGGCTGAGCATATCTAGGGTGCAAATAACCTGGATCTTGTACATCCATACATCACATGACTTTGATCTGCTCATAACTGGTTATATCTTTCCTCATTTTTTTCCCCAAGAAGGGAGATTTAAATCCAATTTTTCAAGCTAATGGCCAGTTGCAGTCTCCTAAAAAGGGAGGCTGGCAAACAAAGTCACATCCCCATTATTACAGCTGGTCCCAGAACCATAATTGATATTCATCATTTCCCTCCTCCTCCAACCATTCTAGGTTTCCTTCACCCTCAGGACTTTGCCTACACACACTTTTAGTTGCTTGCCTTCAGTCCTCTGGAGTCCTTGTTTGTCTTGCTCTTGTCAGGCCATGGTTGCTGTGATTACCTACTTACAGTTATCACTGGGCAGGGAGGTACCAAGAGATGCCCCCATGAATCCCATTATTTCCAAATGTCTTAGTTTATATCTGCTGTAACAGATATATCCCAAGTGGGTGGTTTTAAAGAACAGAAATTTATTTTATTACAGTTTAGGAGGCTAGAAGTTCAAATTCAGGGTACTGGCTCTGGGGAAAGGCTCTCTCTCCGTCAGCTCTGGGGGAAGACAACTTGTCTCAGCTTATGTAACCCTGGTGTTTCTCAGTTTCTTGGTGATTCTCATACGTGATTCTATTTTCCCCAGTTTATGGTTTCTTAGTTCTGTGTCTAATCTGCTCTTTTTATATGTCAAAAGTCTTTAGGTTTAAGACATATCCTACACTGATATGGCCTCATTAACATAACAAAGAAACCCTATTCCCAAGTGGGTTTACATCAACAGGTAGGATCCCCACACATTTTGGGGTGACACAATTCAATCCATAACACCAGACATACTCTTTCTTTCCCCTACTGTGAAAAGGCAGCCCTAGTTCTTTGTGGTAATCAGGGTTGACTACCCTTGCCAGTACAGAAATGCCTTTTTTTGTCTGCTGGTCCACTGGCATGCAGAGCTCAGAGTAGTCAAACAATGGTTACAGCTTCCAGTTCGGTAGAAACTTTACTGTGCACATGTGCACATGTGTGTATGTGTATATGGGTGCACATACATACACACACTCACAGAGGAATAGGACCTCTAACTTGTCAGGGCCTAAGGTTACAGAATGGGAAGCACAAATTACTCAAGTGGCTCACTGCGAGTAACGGTATTAAGGGAAATCCTACATCTACTTCTTCATTCCCAGACCTATGTATTCTAGCTATTGGGAAGACAGACCATCCCACCCATCAACATGATAGTATTACATCCCGAGGGAACTTTAGAGATTAGTGCCACCAACAAAGCTTGAAAGATGCAAGGGTGGTTATTCCTACTACAATTCCATTTAATTTGTCCTTTTGGCAGATGCAAAAGCTTGGTGGATCTTGAAGAATGACTATGGATTATTGCAAATGTAATCAGGTAGTAAATTCAATTGCAGCTGCAATCTGGATGTGGTATCTTTACTGGAGCAAATCAATATAGCCCTTGGCATCTGGGAAATGCTTTCTTTCCAACTCAGAAGCAATCTGCCTTCATGTGGCAGTGACAGCTGTATTCCTTTACTATTTGTCCTCAGGGCTATGTCAACCTCCTGCTTTCTAGCATAAAATAATCAGAAGGGGCCTAGATCATCTTGATAGCCCACAGAACATCAAGCTGGTTCATCACATTGATGACAGTATATTAATTTGTCCTGGTGAGTAGGAAGTAGCAAACATCCCGGACATTTTAGTAGAACATATGCATCCCAGAGGATAGGAGATAAACCTTGTGAAGATTCAGGGACCTGACACATGGGTTATGTTTCTAGAGGTCTAATGGTATGTTGAAATATAACTTTTAAAATAAGAGACAGTTTGCATCACCTTGTGCTGTCCACCATGAATAAAGTGGCACAAAGCTTGGCAGGCCTGTTTGGATTTTGAAGGCAACATATACTACATTTCAGCATATTCCTCCAATCCATTTACCAAGTAACCCAAACGGCTGCCGGTTTTAAGTGGGGCTCAGAGCAAGAAAAGACGTCTGCAGCAGGTCTAAGTTGTGGTTCAAGCTGCCCTGCCACTTGAGTCTTGAGATCCAGCAGACCCAGTGGTATGGGAAGTATCCGTAACAGAAAGATATGGAAAGCCTCTGGCAAGCGCCAATAGGAGAATCACATTGCAGACCCATAGGAGTTTGATGTAAAACCATGCCCTCTTTTGTTGGCTATTCCCCATTTTTAAAGAAAATCTTGACTTGCTACTGGGTTCTAGTAGATATTAAATATCAAAAAATGAAACATTAAGTGATGATGCAAGCTGACTCTTGCTTTGAGGTGGGATGCTGTCAGTAGAAGATGAGTTTGCACTACCATTGTAATGGCTAAAATCTCCTACTGATGAATATTTAGGCTGTTTCCAATCTCCTGCTATTTCAAATATCCCCATTCTTCATTTTACACATGTGTAAGTATATCTATATTTTAAAATCCAATATTTTGATATTGTCAATTAGCCCTATGTTGAAGTTGTACCCATTTACACTCCCACCAACAATATATGAGTGTCTTTTTCTTCACAAACTTGCCACAAAGTGGTCATACATATCTATTTTTTAATCTTTGCCCATCTGATAGGTAAAGTAAAAAGAGAGAGCTGTTTTTTAAAACAGTTTTATTGAGATCTAATTGACATGCAATCAATTGCACGTTTAAATTGACATATGAAACCAACGCCACAGTCAAGATCATGAATACATCCACCACCCCAGAAGCTTTCCTAGTGCCCCCTTGTATTCCTTCCCTCCCAGTATCCTCCCTGACCCTGAATCCCCAGGAAGCCACTAGTCTTCTTTGTGTTACTATTTTCTAGATTGTGTTTTTATTTTATAGAATTTTACAAAAATGGAATAATACAGTACACAGTCTTTTTTAAAAAAATTATCTTCTTTCGCTTAGCGTAATTAGAGATTCATCCATGTCCTTGCATGTATAAATAGTTCATTCCTTTTAATTGCTGAGTAGTATGGATATCTAGGTCCCTGGGTGGTGCAAACAGTTTGTGCTTGACTTCTAACCTAAAGGTTGTCAATTTGAACCCACCCAGCAGCAACACGGAAGAAAGGCTTGGTGATCTGCTTCCATAAAGATTACAGCCAAGAAAACCCTACGGAGCAGTTCTACTCCATAACACACTGACAGCAACATTTTTTTTTTTTTTTTAAGTATGGACATACCACAATTTGTTCATCCATTCATGTGTTCATAGACATTTGGGTTGTTTCTAATAAAGCTGCTATAAACATTCATGTACTAGTCTTTGTATGAACACAAGTTTTATTTCTCTTGAGTCAACACCTAGAAGTGGAGGTCTGCGTAGTAAAACAAAAGGAATTTTACTTCAAATGCACCAGTTACCCTCACACCTCCTTTTTGAAAAACCATCTCAGGCTGAAAAAAGAAATAGTCTAAAAGAAATAAGTCTAAGCTTCACAATAGGTCTCTAAGTAAGGTCCCTCCCTAACTTACCCTGGCCAGAAACCGCGTCATGCGTGTTCTAACTAAACAGGTAAAGATGCCGTAGGATTCTAACCTTTAACCGCACCGAGGCGCCTGCGGCCGGAGCGTAACCAATAGCCACGCCCCTCTTTGGCATTTCCCTTCCTGCCCCGCCCACACACTCCAACCCGAACTTCACTTCCCAACATGCTCCGGACTATTATAGGTCGGCGGTCATTGTGACGTTAGTTTCGCAGCCTTCTGGGATATGTCGTTTCTTTGTTCTTCCGCTGCGGAAAGTTCTAGGGCTGTGAACTACCACTCCCGTGAGGTAGTGCGCAGTTCACCCCGTTCGCGGCGTCTTCGAACGCGCCGCGGCAGCCATGTTGGACGTGGCCAGCACAGGGGCCGGCACCAGGGGGTTGTAGAAGAAGCAGCTGTAATGATGCTGGGGTCCCTGGCGTTGAGAACAGCGCTGGCGCCGCGGCTCCTCATCCGACTGCTTACGTCTCCATCGCTCAGGAGCCATGGAGGCGCCTTCAGCCGGAGCGTAACCACCGGGGGCCGCGGGGAGCCGCAATGGCTGAGGGCAGCCGCCGGGGGGCGCCCTGGGACAGCGCAGGCCTTGCTTGCAGGACAAGGGGCAGCCACCGGGAGGCGCCGAGGAGGACATGCGGAGACTCAGTGCTTTGCAGCCACCACGTGGGGACGCCTTCCCAGCCTTGAAGAAATGCTACCTGGACAAGACGGCTGGAGCAGGGTCCCCAACAGAGCTGGACTGGGCATGTGGGCCCTGGCCACGGCGCTGGTGGCTCACTGCTACAGCAAGAACCCGTCCAACAAGGGTGATTATTGGGACTGTCTGGGTTCGAGGAAGGTAGAGGCGGGAGGAGTGCCCTGACCCCGCATCTTTGTAGGATGGGAGATGCTTATAGTCTTAGACCCGGAGAGCCTCAGGCCTGGGGGGACCCAGACATCATCTGATCACAGGGGTAGAGCGTTGCAGTGGAGAGCTCATTGCCTTTGAGTTGCATAATCTCCCATAGATCAGCTCCCCCTCTTTGGCCGTGATTTTGTCCATCTGTACGATGGAGGGCATTGAAGTAAACATCTGATGTTAGAGCATGGTCTCTTTATGCTGTAATATTCTGCCTGGTCCAATTCCTCTTCTAAGAGGTCTCCAGGAAACCGCGGGATGCTTTAAGGGCAAGCACCAGATGGTTTAGAGAAGTTCTTAAGCCTAACGTGGCCCAAGAAACGAAGAGACTTGGTTTTAATACCAGTTCTACCACTGTTCACTAGGGGACCCCTTTGCTCCTCTTTGGCCTATAAATTTGCCCACTTATACAGTGAAGGATAATTTCCCAGTACTCTTACAGTACTGTTCTGCTGTCTCCCAGGGTTTTGCTGTGCCCGGTCTCAGGATCTTGCCATGTGGGGCAGTTGGCAAGAGAATCTGTAGAGACCCAAGGCAACCATAGGGGCTGGCTGAACCAGATTGGCATCTCAGCTGGGTGCATGGGACTAAACGAGGGGAGTGGCAGAGAGCTAGACTGCTGGTCTACATGAAGTCAACACTCAAATTCTCAGTTATTCCTTAAAGGGGAAGACTGAAGCATGGTGTTCATAGACTCCATGCAGTGGGGACTGCTTGACATTCATTTATTTATTCAGCAGAATGTGGCCAACTGTAAAGTACAGGCCTTGGACTGGGAGTCAGGACACCTGGGATCTTGTTTGGTTCTGCTTCTATTTACCATTGTGACTGGATTCTGGCTCCTTCTCTTTGGACCTCAGTTTCCTCATCTACAAGATGAGGATTTTGAGCTAGAGACTCTAAGAGTTGTAGCTTAGACATATTAAGATTCTATAACTTTCCTCATTGTTTTGAATACTTTCTGTGCGCCTAGTTTGGGGCTAGGTATTGTGGGAACTCCTAACTTAACATGAAATCAGTCGGGGTTGGGGGTATGGGGGAGCAGTACAGGGCAGTTAGGCCTGCAGGTCTTGTAAGTGGTGTTATATGTGTTGTTGGTGGATCAGAAAACTAGCAGGGTCAGGAAAGCCTTCCTGGAGGATTGAAGACTTATGGGGGATGGGGAATTTTAACTTGAGTCCTGAAGGATAAGGCAAGAGATGAAAAGGAAAAGAGTAAAGAGGGACATTGGGAGCCCCAGTGAGAGTGGGAATGCATCTTTTTTGCTTTTTTTTTAGGTTGGTACCATCTCCCTTCCCAATACCAACACATGGTTCACCATAGTGTCTGAAACTTAGTAGGTACTCAGTAAATGTGTCTTGAGTTGGATTGTATTCCAGGCAGAGGCTTCAGGAATGAAGATATGACACACACACAGGTCAGCATGGTGTGTGCAGGGGCCAACAGAGTGGCCAGCCTGGTTGGAGGACAGGAGGTCTTTGGGATAAGGTGAGAGCAGATGGAGCAAAGGGAGTGGGCCCTGGATGATAGAAGGGTTGGAGGGTTTGGAATTTTCTCCTGTAGGCGATGGAGAGCCATGGGAGGTTCATGAGCAAGCAGCGTCCTGAGGCCATTGTGTTTGGATGGAATGAGGGGAAGTCAAGGGGCCAAAGAGAGACAAGCCTGAAGAGACTGTGACAGTGCTGGGGAGAAGATGACATAGGGGTGTGGTCCTGAGAGGCTTGGCTTTGTAAGAGAAAGATGTCCTTCCCCTCATGTACTGTTTGGCTTGGGCCAGACCAATGGTTCTTTACCTTGTTTAGAATCACTTGGAGAGCTTTTAAAACAATACTAATACTTGGGTCTTACACCCAGAGATTCTGATTTAATTGATCTATAGGGCCTTAGCATCAGCATGTTTTCACAGCATCATTGGTGATTCTCATGTGCAGTCAGGGTTGAAAACCACTGGGGACATGACTTCCATAGAACCTGGATTCCAAGATCTTACCTTAGAGGCTCCTGGGGGCTTCAGGCTGGACTTTGTGACATTGAGTAGTGTCATGTGAACCCCAGCAAGGAGACCAGGGTCTGTTTACCAAAATAATGACGGTAACTAGTTCCATTCCTGGTACCTGAGGTAGTAGCCCCTTCTGACTTACCAGCTACCCTGTCTCCTGACTTGGAATTGTGAGCTGAGACCCTCAGTGTAGTGAAGAAGAAACTATTTTTAGGAGCAGGGAGATTCTGGTTTTAATTTCATCTCATTCCTCACCCACTCTGACCTTGCAGAAGCCACTCTTTTCTGTAGAGTGAGGGAGGAGTGGATACAGTGATCTCTGAGAAAGGCTCGTTCCCCTTCCAGCTGGGGGCTGCTTGAACATGCTTGAGTGTATGCTTGGAGAGCAATCGGGGAAGGTAACTAGGAAAGGCCTGGTTCTGGAGCCTAGGCCAGGACATGGGATGGAGACACCAATGTCTGAACCACAGAACTGACTTTCATATGCACAGTAAGGTGGGTATCTTATCCCTGTTGTACAGATGAGGAAACAGGCTCAGAGAGGATAGGTGAGTTGGCCAGGTCATACAGGTAAGCGGCAGAGCTGGGCCTGGAGCCCAGGTCTGTCTGCTTCCAGATGCTTCTTTTTCCACTCTGCTCCACTGCCTCCTCTTGTATTTCACTGGGTGAGACTCTTGGCTGGACTGGGAGACTCCCTAGGCAGGGCTGGGTAGGAGTCTGTTCAGGCCCAACTATGTACTTCATAACCAGGCTTGGCACAGAGGGCTCCATGGGCACTTGGTGTTTGAAAAAATTGTCTCTGCTGTTGAGTTTGTTTTCATGAGGCTGACAGCCACAAGGTGGTGCCAACGGCCAGCACGGAGCCCAGGCCAGGCCAGGTTTAGCAGCTTTTCTGCTAGGTCTGCTGATTCCTAAGGAATCTGAATACTCTTCTCTGGGTCTCCTTTTGCTAGGCTTGGCACCAGGGAGTTTGCATATTTTTTCAACCATCATTTCATCTCTGTGTCAGCCTTGTGAGGCTAGTAAGGCAAGGACTGTTGTTTCTATAGTCAAGAAAGATGGGGTTGAGAGGGAAAGGGGCTGCTACAGTCACACAGTGAGTAGGTGGTAGAGGAGTTGGAGCCAGGTCTCCTGATTCTCAGTCGAGGTTTTGTCTCCACTCTCAGAGGGGCTCACACCCTTGCGGGCTCCTCATCCTGTCCCTCCCACTGGGTTTGTGATCTGTGATACCAAGATTGAGAACTGGGCTGAGTAACTAGAGTTGGGGAAGAAAGTGGGAGCAATGTAGGGGAATGGTTATTAATAATAATGACAGTAACAAAATATATTATACTTCTACAGAGCTTTATAACTTATAAAGAGGATAATTCACACATTGAGTACTTACCATAGACATAGTTGCCAGTACTTCACGCACATGACTTTGTATGATGTGAAGGAGTTGTTAGGAGTTTGGGCTCTGTAAATAGAAAGATGTGGAAGGACAAGTTGTTAACAGTGGATACCATGTGGGGAGGGAGGGAGTGATTAGCTTTTTCTTTATATATCGTGGTATTGTTTCACTTGCTAAAGCCCGTGTTTGTGAAGTGCTTCCACTTCCAGTGTCTCACCAGGCAGCCCTGAGGGGTAGGTCCTGGCCGGGGATCTGACCAGTGCCCCTCTCTCTTCAGATACAGCCCTGATGGAAGCTGCTCGCACCAACAATGTCCAGGAAGTCCGCAGGTGAGTGTTGAAATCCAGGCCTTGCTCTCCCTCATGTGAGGGGTGAGGGGGTACGCCCCTTCCTGTGTGATGACTTTGCCTTGGATGAAGTCCTTCCTTAAAACTAAGCTGGGAACTGTCCCCTGTGACTTCCCTGTAGTCACCAAGCATGTTGGCTCCCGTGGCCCAGGTCAACCCTTACATATTTTAAAGTAGGGAGTTAGTTCCCTGTGTCTCTTTTTTCTAACCCCAAACATCCCTTGGTCCTTCAGCTGTTTTATTCCTCCCAGGAGTCCCCTCCACATTCTATGGGTTCTTCTCTGTATCTTCCAATTTGTTCTTGTTTCTCTGTGGGTTTGGCCATGTGTTATTGGTTGTTGCCTGGACAGGGGTGAAGGTGGCCTCCCATGGAGGAGGTTGGAGATTTAGCAGGGAGATGGAAGAGGCCTTTCTGCCAGAAAGTCTTCTGGGGCTAAAACGTCCTGCCTGTAGGGTTGGGGTGCAGATGCTGGACCCGTGCCCAGGGACAGACCAAATTTCTCCAGCCTCCCTGACTCAGCTAGTCTTCTTGTGACCACTGACAGGTTGGATTTGAGGCTTGTTCTTGGGCAGGGGCGAGACTCGACTTAGGGCTCAACATAGTGCCAGGATGGATGCTCACACAGGGGCCACCATAGGGCCTCAGTATGGGGCTTTTGGTTATGGGCAGAGGTTTTATTCTGGGTGAAACTAGTGGCCCCCACTGAACTAACTTTGGCGTTGTTGGCCCTTTGGAGCTAGGTGGACATAGCACACCCCCCTCTTCCCTGCTACCTTACCCATGTTTTAGGCAGGAAGTCAGGTGTTTGAGGTGGCTATCCCTGTACAAGTACCACAGACCCTTGGTGCTCTTCCCCAGCAACTGCCTGAATATACAAGTAGGCAGGGAAAGGCAGCCACAGCCCCAACCAAGACTTACTGCTTTGATTCCCTTTCATTTTATCTGCAGCATTATTATTGATTCTCAAGGGTGCTTTTGAGTATTAATGTTCAAGGCTTAGTTTTTAATAAACCACTTTTGAAAGTATGGGCTGGGAGTTGTTTCGTAGCCAAATAAATATGATGGAGCAATAGTTTAATAAACATGCGATGATGCATCTTGGAAACGAAGCACAGATGTCAGCTTGTTATAAGAGCCATTCATAACTGCAGGCTGTGTGTGGCATCTTCACTCCCCCAGAAACAAATGAGCCTTGCTTCACTCTACTGCAGCGCAGTAGAACGAGCTGTGCCCCCCATGCAGGCCCTTGCCGGACCTGGGATACCGTATTGGTAACTGCCGGAGTCTGCCCAGCTGCTGCCTTCCCTGGCTGATCTGTGTAGGAGGGTATTTGCAGAGCAGCAGCACTGTGAATCTACCTTTCCATCGCCCTGGGGAGGCTGAGTTTAGCCTATTCCATTATGCCCCCGGTTGCTGATTATTTTAGTTCTTTCAGATACATGTTTTTCTGCTAGAAGTTAAATACCTGCCCCAAACTTCAGAACTTTGTGTGCGTGACTCAGGGAATTGTTCTGAATATTCATTCTTGTCCATTTGGATAGTGTCCATAGGGACCTTTCATATGAGTATCCCCCAGTCTCTGACCTGCTCTCCTCCTGCCCCTTTTCTTGTCCCATTTCCCTTGGTTAGAGTGACTCGGAATCTCCCTTCACCCCCTTGTGAGGGAATCAGAGATAAGTAAGGCACAGATCCTGTCCTTCAGCACAGCATCCCCCACACCACCACCTCATATAGAACCAAAGAGCAGGGGAACAAGCTGAGTAAAGGCAGGAGCAGGAGGTGCTAGGTGGCCACTGGACCTGGTGAATGTATTGATGTGGCTACTGTGGTACTGGTGTAGGTATGAAGGTGTGGGGAGAGAGGAAAGGTTTGGGAGTGGCTGGACTGCAAGGCCTGGGATGCCCAGGATAAGTTTTGAATTCTTATCCTGAAAGCAGTGGGGAGATGGGGGAGGTTTTTGGGTAGGGGACTGACCTTGTTCGAGCTGTGTTTCAGAAGAGTGAAGGATGAACTGAATCTGGGGAGGGCAGAAGGCAGATCTGTTAAGAGGCAATTTCGATAAGACAAATTCAAGGTGAAGAAGGGCCTGAACTAGGACATCCTTTCCTCCTCCCTGATTCATTATCCATCCAAAAAATATGTCCCACTTATGAATGAATGAGTGGGCCTTTGCTGGACACTGGAAATAGGACTGACCTAGGCTAGGGTCTCAAAGAATATGTAAGCCACCAAATATAGTTTTTCCTGCTAACAGAGCTAGGCCTGGGGGTTGGGGTGGGGAGGGCCCGACCATCCTTTCTGGAAGGGAATGTGCCTGAATTCCTACAGCAGATTCTTACTCAGCCTTTCTACTCTCTAGATCTCTGCACAGGTGTTTCATGCTGCTATTTCTTTATTTCTTCCTCTGGGTGCCCTGGGCTTGGGGAGCGCTAGCAAAGGGCAGCAGCCTGAGGCCCATCTGCTCAGGGAGCAAGTGTTGTGTTAAACATCCTCTTTAAGGACACCCTGGAATATGCAGTACCTGAGCACTGGATCCTGGCCTTTCTCATAGACCGCCCTCCGTATTCGGTGCTCATCACCCTCTGCTCGCACTACCACCCTTTAAGGCTCAGCTCACGTGCTGCCTTCATTGTGAAGCCTTCCTTAATTCCTCCCAATTGGGTGGGATCTCCACTCCTTTGTCCCAGCCCACCTCCCTCTGGCCTGGGAAGGTGTGAGGGTCAGGTAGGAAAGACCATGCCGGGTTGTAATAGGAGAGGAATTCTCTTCTGGAAGAGAAGCCGTGCTGAACATCAGGACTGCGAAGGCGGGCAGTCCACGAACAGGAAAACCAGTCAAGTTTGGACGCCGACCTACTCGGACAGATCAGGAATCCTCATGCAGTATGAGATGATCAAGCCAATAGCTCTGGACAGCAGCCCTTTGTGGGCACTGTTGACCTGCTTCGTGTGGGGCTGGCTAAACATGTGGTGGGCCTGCCTGGCTGAAGGGACAGGGCAGGACCTGCTGCTCACCACCCTCTGTTCTTTGTATTAGGAAGTTTCTGGGCTTGACTTCATCTTAAGCCACTGGATTGTGGGGCTTCCTAAGGGCAGGGAAAGGCCTGGTTCCCACTGTCTCTTACCCTGTCTCCCAGATTGCAAGCAACTTGGAACGTTTGCTTTTACTGACTTTTTTTTTCAGCAGACCTGAAGCAAGCATTCCTGAGTCTTATTTCCATATTCCCATTGGCTATATCAGAGGAAGGGTGGGTTCCTTCCTCTTTCTTTCCTTCCCGCCTCCTTTCTCCCCATGTGGTAATCATTTTCTCCCTTCCCATCCCCCAAAGCACTTAAACCTTGTAAGCACATTCAGCTGTGGTTCTTCAGGTTCCAGGGCCCCTATCCCACTTGTCAGCAGTGTGAGCAGGTGGCCCTGCTCCTGGGTTCAGCCCAAACCTGGGCCTGGCTTCTGAACTAGAACCATTCACCCGAAACCCAGGGCACAGGGCAGACTGAAGGCACATCTGTCCAGGCTCGCCTGGGTCATGAGAGGAGCAGTCAGGGTGAGAAATGAGGCCTCCCATTAGAGATCACATTTCCTTAAGAACAAACTTGGATGAAAGACAACACCCCTACCCATTTCCCTTCTCCCAGCAGGGAGCTGGGCCTCTGCTAAGTGCTTAACTTGGTCTTTCATTTGCTCATACATTCTCTAATGAAGGAAGCCTGATGGGATAAATCTTGTACCTCCAGCTGCCTGTTCTTTCTCTCTAAGATTCATTTCATTTTACAAACATTTACTGAGTACCTGCCATATGTCAGGTCCTGTGCGTGGCACAGGGGACATCTGACCAGGCATGGTTCCTGCCCTTGATAAAAGAGTCTAGGGCTGACTCTGGCAACACAATGTGATTAGTGCTGTGAGACAAGACAGTACAGGGACTGCCAGAGCCCAGAAGATGTCCCTAACCAGCCTGGGGATCAAGGAAGGCTTCCTAGAGGAGATGGCACCTGATCAGAGTCTTAACACATCAGTAGGACATAACCAGGAGAAGCAGGAGACATTCCAGACAAAGGGAACAGCATGAGTGGTGGCACCCAGCAAGGGACAGTCTGGTGTGTGTGGTGGGGAAGATGGAGTTATACCCTGTTATTAGGTGTTGCTGGATCACAGTCTGAGGAGGCTGAAAGGGTCTAGAGGTAGTTAGGGGCCTGGTCGTGGAAGGCCTTGATTGACTGTCCATTTGTCACACAGTCACCCATCTGTCCAGCCTGTACCCTGATCCTGCCCTGAGCTGAATGTGGGGAGGGGATGGGAGGCAACACAATGAGGAAGGAGAAGCACGTCCCTGCCCTGGAGGATTTCACAAACCCCAGGTAAGGGTCAAGGGGGATGAGTCAAATTGAGAAGCAGCAAAATAAGTTGCCTACCTTCTTTGAGCCGAAGTAACATGGAGATGATAATACGTATAGCCCACTGAGTTGTAGAGTTAATATTATTAATAAAATTATTAATTCATTCCACTAATATTTAGGAGTGCTATTAGGAGGCATTGTACTAGATACTGGAGATACAGTAGTGAACAAGGTAGGCACAGTCCCTGCCTTCTTGGTACTTACAGTCTAACTGGGAGCCAGATGACTAGTTAGGTGATTATAGTTACAGTAAAACCTGTGAAAGTCAGAACCTGTGTAAGGCAAAAACTTGTCAGAGAAGGAATACTTAAATATTTTCCACTAGTAGAGAGTGATAGAAAAGGTAGAAAACGTGGAAGACCCAGAAAAACAAGTCAGTCCCATCAAATTCCAGCTCTCACAGGTTTTACTGTATGTACTTCACAGGTGAAGTACAGTTTGTCTTTTCAACAATTGGTGCTGGGACAAGTAAATATCCACATGTAAAGAATGAAATTGGACCCCTTATGCCATACACAAAAATTAACTCAAAATCAGACTAAAAGCTAAAACTATAAAACTGTTAAAAGAAAACATAGGAGTAA